TAAACCTTTCTATTAGCAGCCAAGCACGAAATCATTGTCCTATCAGGACTCCTTTAAAATGCATAGTATGTTCTCTTAAATTGTGTTTTTTCATCTTATTTACCTTTTAGGTCACTGAATTCTGTAATGCAAAAAAACATAACCGAGAAGCTCCAACTATACAAAACCAAAAATGCAATTCCAGAAGCATATGGGAGGTGATTAGCAATTCTGAGGATTTCAACAACACAACACCTATGGTAGAAACACCTCCTCAACCTACCTTTTCATTACTGAAGATCAGTGAAAGAATTGTGTGCTTAGTTCTTGATAAGTCTGGAAGTATGTCGGTAAGCTCCATGGGCCCATTTTTCCTGGGTGTGGGGGGCTGATAAGTGACTGAATAGCTAAGAAAACACTGTACTCTATCTGTGCTTGAGCTGTCCTTAATTGCATGATGGCATCAATTCCTAGGACTTCCAGTGGTTCCAACCTCAAAGGGGGGAAGGCAACAAAATTTACTGAAGGAAAGATATCAATAGAGTTAAACAGACCTAACAAAAAATTTTTCATCCTTAAACTGGAAGGTTTACAGAAGAGGGCTTTGAAGACTGTTAATAGAGCTTCAGATGAAGGTTTAGAACAAGAGATGAAGTACATAAATGGTTTCTAACTAAGCCCCCGTTATATACTGGAAGTGCTTGAGAGACATGAGAATAGAGTGGAATGGAAGCTGCTGATCTCCATAATCCAGGTCAAGGAACAGCATTAACAAGATATTTTTAAACATGGGTTTATTTTGTATGTATCATTTATACAAATGACCTCTTTATGACCAAAGATACAGAAAAAAAATGTACCATAATAAACAAATGGTGTGGTATTGCAGGTTAATGCACTGGACTACAAAGTTGGTTTGAACTGAAAGGTCGACAGTTCAAGTTCACCCTATATCGGGCCCCTATGGGTCAGAACCAACTCAATGGCATTTAACACCAACAACACACAAATATATGACTGAATCCAGTCATTCATTTATTCTAATAGAATTTAATGAGTGTCTACT